CCAATGAAGCTGCATCAAATAAAATACACTGAGGTGTAAATGTTACCTGTATACATTTACTATACAGTAATTGATTAAATTAGTAAATGTATACAGGGGAACATGTTGTAATTGTTGTGGAATGGTGTGTGAACTCTTAATGCACTGGGTAAACATAGCTGGAAAGTTAGATGCCTGCATGGATGAGATGTGTGTTAAAGGACATATAAACCTAAAAGCAAAACTGTAATATATTGCAGCTTACCAGTCCTTAGGCTGCATTTGTTTTTTTTTTGGCAAAGTACAGAAAAAATACCTGCCATATCCTGCCAAAGTTTTTGTGTCCTTGTAACTTCCTGTGCACTGAGATTGATGTATATATTTATATATATTCTCAGATTCTTTTATGGATAGGATTAAACAGTTTTGCAAATGTTAACAAACTTAAAGCGCTTAGTGCTGTACCAATTTCATATTTTCAAAATATGGGGAGGCTTCAAAACTGATTTTTTTTTTCCCAATGTCTTCAGTCTATACAGGAGCATTTTAAAAACACTTTTCTTATCAAAGCTACAGTAGTTGGTAATCATATGTGAGGTTAATGGTGGATGTGGATCTAATATATAGTCAAAGATTTATTTCATTGAGAACAACATCTCTAATTGAGCAGTATATCCAAAGATGCAATATATTGCCAAAAGTATTGGGACACCCCTCCAAATCATTAGATTCAGGTGTTCCAATCACCTCTATGGCTACATGTATATAAAATTAAGTGCCTCGGCATGTAGACTGCTTCTACAAACATTTGTCAAAGAATGGGTCATTCTCAGAAGCTTAGTGAATTCAAACGTGGTACCGTGATAGGTTGCCACCTGTGCAATAAGTCCATCCGTGAAATTTCCTACTAAATATTCCACTGTCAACTGTTAGTGGTATTATAACAAAGTGGAAGCAACTGGGAATAGCAGCAAATCAGCCACGAAGTGGTAGGCCACGTAAAATGACACAGCGGGGTCAGCGCATGCTGAATCGCACAGTGCACAGACATCGCCAACTGTCTTCAGAGTCAATAGCTAAAGACCTCCAAACTTCATGTGGCCTTCACAGCAACAGTGTGTATAGAGCTTCATGGAATGGGTTTTCATGGCCAAGCAGCTGCATCCAAACCTTACATCAACAAGTGCAATGCAAAGCGTTGGATTTAGCGGTGTAAAGCACGCCACCACTGGAGTAGCAGAGATGTGATCTCTGGAGTGACTAATCACGCTTCTCTGTCTGGCAATCCGATGGACATGTCTGAGTTTGGCGGTTGCCAGGAGAACGGTACTTGCCTGACTGCATTGTGCCAAATGTAAAGTTTGGTGGAGGGGGGATTATGGTGTGGGGCTGTTTTTCGGGGGTTGGGCTTAGCCCCTTAGTTCCAGTGAAGGGAACACTTAAGGCATCAGCATACCGAGACATTTTGGGCAATTTCATGCTCCCAACCCGATAGAACACCTTTGGGATAAATTAGAGCAGAGACCGCGAACCAGGCCTTCTCGTCCGACATCAGTGACTGACCTCACAAATGCGCTTCTTGAAGAATGATCAAACATTACCATAGACACACTCCTAAACCTTGTGGACAGCCTTCCCAGAAGAGTTGAAGCTGCAAAGGGTGGGCCAACTCAATATTGAACCCTACGGACTAAGACTAGGATGTCATTAAAGTTCATTTGCGTGTAAAAGTAGGCATCCCAATACTTTTGGCAATATAGTGTATAAGCAACTGGAAAAATGCTAAAGATTTCCTGTTAAAGTATATCTAAAGGCATGTTTTCATTCAGTTTAGAGTAGGGAAGTATTAAAACCACTGTCAATTTTTTGTCATCTGTTTTACTATTTTAGGTAATCTCCCTTCACTTCCTGTCCTGTAGACACAACATAAAGTGAGATAGCTTTCCATAGTAAGCGAAATTGAAATGACTTTTTAGGCAGTTTTCATGGCAACAATTGGGAGATTTCCCCTCTATTCCTTTTCTGGTGGCAAATCAAAATTTTGGATTTACCCTCCTTTTTATTTTCCTTGACACTGATGATTAGGACAATTAGAGAGAGCATATTTCTCTAACAGGAACACAGACAGGAGTAAAAACGGATAGTAGTTCTATCCCCTCACCACTCTAAGATTAAATATGTTGCCTCTAGTTAAAGCTTGGTCCTGCCTTCTAAAGACCTCTTTTGTTCAATGAGGCCTCTTCCCATATTACAGGAGCAATAGACTTCAGGTGTGGTGGGTTGAGGGGCCAAACAAGACTTTCATAGAAAGTCAAGAGTTGCATGTGAATTTGGCTTAGTATATTTCTGGAACTACTGATAATTTTATGATCCCTTTTCACAGCAGATAACATCTCCTTTTGCATACAGATTCATAGCTGTCCAGAGTAAAATATGAATTAGTTGAAATCACCATTTTTAAAAGGATAATGAATCTTTACAAAATATTCATTTTCTAAGATTTTGTTTTGTACAATATGTGATTGACTACAGTTTGAATTTTGTCAAGCATTTAAACCCTGAAAAATAAGAAGGTAGTAAATAGGAAGCTAAATTGTGGATTTCCAAGTTTTTATTTTGAGTTTTTTTAATCGTATATTTTTAATGCTTCCTAAATGTACAACGAAGAAGAACTTTGTAAATTAAAGTTTACAATAAAGAAAAGATGACTGATGACTAATCTGTGCATGTACTGTATGTAAATGTAATTGGAATCGTTATTTACAAATTGATTTTGTAGTACCTACAGTAAAGTCTTATTATACAAGAAATAATAACCTTAAAAACTTGCATGACTTGGTTTGAAATCTATGGACTTAGCCAGCAAATGGCACTTACGATAACTTCACTTTTTCTGCTTTTAGAATTGTTTAACTGTGCCCAAGCATGGGTCAATACAAACAAGCAACAAGTTTCACTTGCAGTGATCAAGTAAGGGAAGAGTTAGAAGAAGAGTTAGGAGAAGGCAGGTAAAGGAAGGTTATAACCCGTCAGGTTTTTTGCCATATGTGTCCTATTGGGGAGATTTCCCTTTACTTCCTGTCCCTTAGCCAAAACAGGAAAAAGAGGAAATCCTTTCAAAGTGAGGGAAATCCTGGTTGTTACCAGGGTCACCAAAGCTAGTGTGCTCATTTGAAGATTACACTCTTTTCCCTTACTTTTGACCACTCAAATTTGACCACTCAAATTATAATTTAGAGCAAACAGCTGATCATTCCCTTTTCCACGAAGAAAAGGGGACAAACCTTGTAGTATTCAGGGAAATGATCATGGCAGAACCTGGAAAAGCAGGATTTGAGTGAGTAGAGTCGAACCCTTCACCTGCCTTAGACATTTACATTGGCCACATATAAAAACAACCTACCCAGATCAAGCTCCTCCTTGCCCAGACCCAGTTCACAACAAACTACATCCTTTGTACACTCCTTTACATAGTGGCTTTTACCTGCTTGGCATCATCATGTGTTATTTTTTACTGTTGCTTGACTGTCTTCTTGTTCCCTCTTTACATGCAAATACTGCCTTATGTTACATGCTGCATTGTCTTGTCACGTGTATCAGTGACGTCTTATTAGTGTTAAATGTAACTTTAAATATCTGCAGCTTTATTTATTTGTATGTACAATATATAGGAAATCCGATCACTTACACTTTTATTAACTGGCAAAATCTCTGCCTGCCCAGAGTGTATTCCCCACTTCACCCTACTTGTTCCTGCTTTTGTATAAAGACATAGTTTACCTTTACTAATATACTGCGTGTGAAGGAAAGATGTGTCTGTAGATAAAAAGCAAATTGCACACCTTTGACTAAAGTTGAATAATGTCCTTGCTATAGGTTTAGGCCATTCATGTACCTCATAAACTCCAAATGAAAAACTCCCCCCTCCACTCCATCTCGCAATCCTGCCTTTTGCTACGACATGACTAGGACACACTCAGCTTTTCACATCCGCCATCACAGGAGTGAGCTTTCCAATGCAGAGCTCAGAGCTACAGCATCAGGGGAGAGAAATTGCATGTGAGAGGTGTAAATCAGAGAAAGAGCTCACTTTTGTGATGATGAGAGTGAAGAGTAACAGCTGGTTGTGTCTTAGCAACATCCTAGCAACAAGCCAGGATATATGTAGTGATATATGGGGTATGTAAATGGCCTGCACCTATAGAAAGGGCATTATTCAACTTTGATCAAAGCTGTGCAGTTTGTTTTCATCTATAGACACTCTTTATCTGCATAGGCAGTTTTTTTGGTGAAGGTGAACTGTGCCTTTAAGGTCCTGTGTCCATGAGCTTTTTTCTCACTTCAGACAGCTTTTGCATTCCCCTATAAGTCTATGGGAAGGAAAAACATGTTTGAGGTCATATGCAAATAAATTCTGAATGACCCCAAAAGCATCTCAAGCTGATGCCATTGACACAAGCTCAAAACCCTTCGACACAGACCCTTAAGGACTAAAATTTCACCATCACACTATCCACCATACTCACATACTGACACTAAATAAAACATACTCACACTTGCCTATATTGTGATCCCCAGCATTTTTTTATACTTGTTTTTTTTTACCAAACACTTGCCTGTGACTACAAAAAAAAATGAAAAGTGACCGACTGTGAAATGTTTCTGCAGGGGACGCTACTGAGAAAACATGGCAAAGGGCTAGAGAAGGTAAACCTGTATGCAGACCCATCACTTTTGTTTATTGCAGCATTGCATAGCTGATGAAGCGTTGTATCAGTGGAGAATGCTGAATATCCCTATTGTTCTGATACTGCACATCCCTGTACAGAAGCAATGTTGCAGTTTGTTAAATATTTGCTGTGAGAGGGAGTGGAGATGTGGAGGGAGCTGTTAAGGTTTATGTGGCCACTTGTGTTATGTCATTATACTTTTTGTCACTAGCATTGTATGTTCTGAGGTAATGGTTAACTGGTCATTTAGAGGAGCTAAGCAATGCATAACTAGTATTGGTTGTGTGCACTATGTGTGTAGCTGTTTTGTATATACATGTCCGATTTGTTAAGACATGTAATAACTGTTATTGTACACCTGTATTTCACATTCACACTCACGTGTTAATTCCACACTTCTCTCTCCAGAGCAGGGTGAAGCTGCCGTACCATGCAGATGTAAGGACACTGTGTGTGTGTCTGTCTGTCTGCACTTTTCCCATTTCGATTTCTATGTCTGTACAATCTCCCTTTGTGAGATGTGTTATAAATTTGTTTATGTGTTATTTTTTTAAGTAAAGTTTTGGTGTGTAGAAAAGCAAGCTTTTATTTGCAACCCCTTTTAGCAAGACGTAATAGACACTATGAGGAAAATGTGTACAATTTACAGAAAATAAACAGTAGACAGTAAGCAGAACAAGGGTTCTCAACCTGTTCCTCTTAACTTTTTTCAGTATCCCAAAGTGACACCAACCTCATGGTATACCATCAATCAGTAATGCAGCTCCTTTTCTTCCCTATTAGAATAACAGTTGGGCTGATTCACGAACACTGGGGGAAAATTAGCACAGTAGTGGAGTTGTTGCCTATAGGAATCTGTAGGTTTGACCTTTCATTTTATGAAAAGAGGCAAAAATTGAGTTATCATTTTATTTTTTGGGGGGGATGCTGTTGGGATCAGCCCTATTTCCCTATGTATAAAGACATGATCTATGGCTAGAGAAACTAATATGCCATAAGGGCAGACTAGAAGCCATTGACCTGGATTTGCAGATATGCTGGGGAGCAGTGATGAACTTGGGTGTGTATATGTGCAGATGCAGGGGTGGAGGATTCATTGGTCTCAGATGATTGACCTATACAGGTGACAGCTCCTGGCAGGTTCGCACACATGGGTTCAAATGCTAGTCTGAACACACCCAAGCTCATCACTACCGAAGAGCTGCAGGCCTCAGATGGAGTATACTAAAGAAACTGGGATGGTTAGGGTTGAGTTAACCATAAGGGAGTGCAGAGGGATCCAACCCTGCATCAGGGCCAACGGGCATGCTCCTAAACCAGACTTTTTTTAGTTACAATTTTTCCACTGTAGGTAAGAAAATGAAAGTTACTTGTATTGGTTTCATTATGTGACACTTTAGTTTTTTCCTTTCCATATTATGCCCAGTTTCTTTAAAGTGAATCTGTTATTAGAGAAATATGTTGTTTGCCATTGCTGACCTCCTTCTTGAAATGCTGTTGCTTAGCTGTTATGGTGACCCTATGACTTCAGTATATTGAGACCCTCATCTGGAATGAGAATACAGCTCAGGAAAAACAAATGTTACTGCATACTTGATCTTTTTTTGAAAGCAAGAGCTATTGGAAGCAAGAGATTAGCATGACAACCAGGCAACCACTATTTGCAGAAAAGGTGGAAAATAATGGTGAATGTCTTATTTCTCCTTTAACAGGGTTTCTTTAATTTGGGTCAATTTTAATACAATAGAATTATATTAGGCCTCTATGTTTGCATCGGTGGCTCAGTGCTTAGAATAAATAAAATTGTTACCCCGTAGAGACCATTTTAAATGCAAAACACATAATAAATTTAGTGACATTCATTCTGTCACAACATTTAACAAAGCTTATATTGATTGCATGCTAAAAACATTGAAACAGGCCAGAAAGTAACAAAAAAGTTAGTTTGTTTTCAAACAGCAGAGTGTGGAAAAAAGTAGGCATGACAAAAAAATAGTTAGGCAATGCATTTTCAGTGGCAAGAGGAGTAAAGGTAGAATTCTATCGACTAAACCTAACATATGAGCATACAGAGAAAGCACACAAATGTTTAAAAATGTTGTAACTATCATTCTGGTGAATGTATAGACAAATCGTCATTTCAGTTATGGAGAGGGTAGGGAGGGATTAGAACCCCTGCCAGGTATTTTTTGTAACAGAGCCCACCAGAACAAAAAAAAAGAGGGTGAATCAGGCAGCAGTGAAAACTCAGCAAAACTTCTAACCCTTCTCTACTCAATTCAAAATATAAAAAAAAGTAACTTTAGATAGTTTAAGGACAGTTTATATTATGAGCAGGTATAGGCTTGATAAGGGAATGACAAACAAATAAATTATAAGCGCTAATTAGGAATATGAGTGTGTTTTGGGAGGGTGAGGCACCAAAGAAAACAGAATACAGATAAAAGCAATAATATGATGTAATTTTCTGTCAAAAAATCAAAAGCAGTAAGGGAGATCTTTATGTTCTGTGTGTTGATTTTAATATCCAGGATCAACTACTGTGCAAAAAACAAAAACAAAAAAACTTGGAATGTATATACAGTATTATGTGTAATTGTTCAGTTTTTTTTTGTTTCTCTTAGGGGACCCATCTGATCATTAATGCTGCTAAAGAGCTTGGACAACTATCTAAACTCAAGGTATGTTTTGGTAAAATAGATGGATGTCAAGGCTAGATGGTTTCGTTTACCCACATGGGTTGCTTATAAGAAAAAAAATATTACCAAGAAGGCAGTGAAATCGGACTATATGCTGAGCTGCACATAATATTCCACAAAATTCCACAAGACATTTTAAGAGTGGGTGATATTCATATATGAATTTAAAAAACCAAGAACAATGTGTATACGTTGCTGACTGACCTTTATAAAACAACAGGAACAAGAATAGTTTCTACAGAGCTGGATGAATTTGTCAGATGGTCAGATGGTATAGACCGCTTAGGGAGCCTTATACCAAACCCTGCCTTTTGGGGTAAGGAATTTGGGCATAGCTAAGACAGTTTCAGGTATGTAGACATAGAATTTCCAAAAGATGTTTTACAAACAATAAGAGGATGTTGAACATAATGTTGAAGTTATTGAAAAAGCATGAAGGAGGAAAATGGATTCAGCATAGACTTAAGGAGAGGAATATGGAATAAGAAAATATTCTAGAGGGAAAATAGGTTGGGGAGGTGAGAGTAGAAGAAAGACAAAAAAGATTGGATTGGAGAGAAGGTACATGAGTCAGAGGGGGGGGAGAAGGCGTGGCATACTATTTTAGTAAATTAATTATATAATGAAGGTTGCATATATGTTGTCCATGGCCAAAATTTAAGGCATTTGTCATTAGTGCCATTAAAGAAGGCAATTTTGTATTTGTTTTCTGCTTCTTGTTCTGCCATTTTCTGCTTCTCCTTACCTAGACATTTGTTCTGGATGAACGACTCTGAAAGTTTTTCCGGAGGGGAGGTCAGGTCAGCAGTGGCAACCTCTGCTATATATATACTCCTGCACTCTTTTCTCTAGCATTTTTAACACCTGAACCATGAAGATTTTACAGTGAAGAATCAGAAAGCTCTTGTTTCATTATATAATCCATTTGCAGTCTATAATGGTTAATCATTCTTGCCTTATCAGTATTTGTAATTGTTGACAAAGTTGTTAATTTTTACCTCATGTAGGATCACATGGTGAGGGAGGAAGCAAAGAGTCTGACTCCTAAGCAATGTGCCGTGGTGGAGCTTGCACTAGACACTATTAAGGTAATGATTACAGCACTACAGGCAAATCAAGATAATATCTTCTTCTTGCAGTGTGTTTTTTGTTTTTTTTTTTCATTGAAAACCACAGAATGAAAATTCCCAACTGAGCTGATTTTCACTGTTAATATCAATAAGGCAGAAGGTTTATGAATTTATTGCAAAAGAATGCTTAGGTTGAGACCAGGAGCTGCACTCTGAACATAGTCTTGGGGAATATAAAATGGCTGCTTAATCTGTGTTCAAATAATTCAGTGAGATCATTCTCGGTTTATTTACATTTGCTGAGGCTGTGATCGGAAGCAGTTCTCCTGCATACAGCCTCAGCTGCCTTTTACAAGTCATGGCCATAATTGGTTAACAGCGTCAGCCAGGATCCCTAGCCCCACAACATACTTTCAGCTGAATGGGGCCAGGGATGTATGTCTGGATGCTAGAACATTGGCAACCACCATCATCCTAGCAACTACAGCCCTGAGCAGGAAGCTGCTATTAATTAGTGGCAGTAATATGAATGACATCCTGCACAGTTGAATGTTCAATGCAGTGGGCAGATGAACAAGCCCTTTAGTTCTACTGTTTGCTAAAGCAGCTCATCTTCAAAGCAAACCCTGCATCACCCCGAATTTGAACCTCATCCCACTGTGAGCCACTATAAGTGAACACTTACAAGTTCTAGCCAGCAATCATTATTTGTTTTTATGCTTTTGCCCTGTGTGCCCCTAGCCCTTTGTATCCCCTTTATTTATACCAGTTTCTCCTCTGTGTGTATTGCCTTGGTGTCATGCAGGTTTCGTCACCTACTGTTAATAATTGCCCATTTGCTGAGAAACTTTGTTTGAGCGGATGTTCACAGAGCAGGGTTACAGTTCCCATGTAGTTGTGCTTTGAATGCTCCTACTACAGATAGTGTAAATAGCAGAGCATGAGGCCTTTAGTTTTGGTTTTAAGAATATTGGTGATCAAAATACAATTACATTAATTCAGTGTTTTTTGACACGGTGACTGTTGTGCCACTCATTGTATATTCTTTTTTTTCAATGAAGCAATATTTCCACGCTGGAGGTGTTGGTCTTAAAAAGACTTTCTTGGAGAAAAGTCCTGACTTGCAGTCTCTGCGCTATGCACTCTCTCTATATACACAAGCAACGGACACACTCATCAAAACCTTTGTCCAAACACAGACTGCTCAGGGTGAGACTTATTTCATATGTATTTTTATGTGATCCTAATAACAGTTTTTTATGTGCTCGGTGATATAATAGTTTGACTGAAAATACATGTAGACTTTGCAATATCATAAGCTTTATTATTATTGTATATCCTTTATTTACTCTTCACTTTGTATTTCCTAATTGAAAACAACAGAGAAAGGTTGCTATCTGAAAAGTGATTAGCTTGTGTATAGCATCAGTACCAATTTAGCAGGTGGTCTGTTTAAAAATCCATGGCACCAACAAACCAAAACATATCATATATAACAGGAATACACATAACAGACATGAGTACGCTTTCCAGTGCTGTTATGCTGATTGCATTGTTTTCCAGTGCTTACAGCTTATATTTTAAACTGTTTTGTTTTAAGCACCGGAGGACCTCTGACTTCTTGCTAGTGTAATGTTGCATCTGATTTTTCTGTTTTGTGGTACAACATTTTGGTGGGAAATTGTATTTATACATTGTCAATGGAATATGGCAGTAACAATAGCTTTATTTAGTACACTTTGCATAACATTTAATGCCAAGTACACAGTAAAACTAAAACATTCTTGTTTACAGATCCAGTAATCCTGTTTTCAGTTGGGCTAGCCAGCTCCTTCCTTTTTTATTTATGGCAGTATTTATTTAAATATTTAATGGAATAGTAGAGTAATTCTGGATTAATGCTGCTGAATTATCTGACCTAGACCTTTTTTCTTGGTGTTGGCAGGGATAGACTGCAGGTTCATAGATACAGTACTCATCCTAAAAGATCAATTTGTAAAATTGCTACTTAGTTTGTTTCTCATTTTAGCATTATGCTTGTTTTTATTTCTTTTAAAGTGTATTTAAAGCCAAATAATTAAAAAATTCTTGATAGAGTTTTATTTGCTGTCCATGTTCCGGCTGGGAAGGTGACTATGGTCACCAGCACTAAACATACGGGAAAATCTTCCATTGAAGATGCTTGTTCTGGTGACATTTGTTTCAGAGGGGATTTCTCTCACTTTGAATAGATTTCATTTCACATTCACAGAAGTATAGTAAATCTAGAACCTTGGGACACTAATGCAAAAAAAAAAATATTTTCCTAAATAAAAATGTTCAGGCCTCCCTAATACTTACCTGAGCCTGATCCTGATCCAGTGATGAGCATGAGAGTAGCTGCTGTCCCAGCTGTCCCTCCTCATTGACTCAGAGACAGCACAATCAAAGCCAGTGAGAAGGGAGCAAGGGGCAGAGCTAAGCCCTGTTCTGTGTGTCTTACGGATACACAGAGCAGGGCTAGGAAGCCAGTATGCACAGGTGTCATCATAGCAAGTGGCTTGCTATGGAGGCACTCAACAGGGGGGAGGAGCCAAGAGCACCGGTGGTGGACACAAGAAGAGGAAGATTGGGGCAGCTCTCGGCAAAACCCTTGCACAGAGCAGGTAAGTATAACATGTTTTTTATTTAAAATATTTAAGCCTTTAGTATCAGTAAAGACAAAGTCAAATTTGTTAGGCCAAATGTAAGAGGGGTACAGTGTTCTATGAGACTCAAATTATGTCATTGTGGTAGGATGACAGTGGTGTATGGTCCAAAATAAATTACTGTCAGAGTATGAAGGAAACGTGCACACTATGTTTTTGTACGTTGTTGTTCTGTTTCTTTTTTTTGCCTTATATCTATGTGTATTTTTTTCATGTCTTTTATCCTTGTGTTCTTTGCTTTATGTAATAGTCACTTTGGAGTCCCTAAAACACAGAATGACAACAACCATTGCTCATTTTTATAAATCACTATTTTATGCAATCAATATTTTAGCTATATTTCAGCTGCACAGTCCACAAAAAAACTTTTTATGGCACCATCACTGCACTAACTAAACTTTGTGAAAAAAGTACACAATGTTTTACTTTTTTCATATTCATAAGGATCACATAAAATTACATAAATACATGAGGGGTATCAATTAAACATCTACAAAAATAAATAGTAAATGCAGGACATTGACATTTAAAAATAGGAGCTGAGCTACTAGGCTTGGTGTAGATCAGTGTTTCTCAACTCCAGTCCTCATGGACCCCCAACAGGTCATGTTTTCAGGATTTCCCTCAGATGAAACAGCTGTGGTAATTACTAAGGCAGTGAAACTGATCAAATCACCTGTGCAAAATAATGGAAATTCTGAAAACATGACCTGTTGGGGGTCCATGAGGACTGGAGTTGAGAAACACTGGTGTAGATGAATAAAAGCTTGCTCCTTTGTGTTGCATTCATAATCTTGTTAGGCAAGACAAATTGATTGAACATTATAATACATAAATAATGTGCTGCTCTGATAATCACTGCATCCATTAAATACCTGAGTCAGGGCTAAACCCCACCAGACAGAGATTTCTCCAGAAAGGCTGTATGTAGATTTCTTTAAGAACATATGTCATCTAACAACGTTTGATCATTCCACACTGAGACAAAAAAAATTAGACTAATATACAGAACGTCTGCTTTGTGAAGTTTTCAAGCAGTTTGAGGTCTACTTTTAAACAAGTTCACTCAAGACTCACACAACTTTTACCAAAGAATCACACAATTTTACAAAAGGTTCAGCTAGAAAGATGCATGAAAGTTGTGGGAATCTTGAGAGAAAACATTAATGAATATAATTTTTCACTTAAATATGTAAATCCCAGCTTTACACTTGACCATTTACAAACTTGGTATATTCTTATTTACTGCAATACCTACTTTGCCAGTTAATTATCTCAGATTTTATATGTTAGCGGTAACTGGCCACAATTGCTAACCCTTTGCTCTATGAAAAAAATTAAAGTGTGAGAGTAGCCACAATTTTTTTTTTTTTCAGTTTTGGATAGAGTAGAAAAGGTTTAAAACCTCAATCTACTGTTTGTATCCCAGTGGGAAATTTCCCTCCTCTTCCTGTCCTGGAGTAGCAACAAGAAGGGAGAGCAAATCTTTACAAAATGATTGAATTCCCCTAGTCAAAGATTGTCACTAGTGCCTATTTTTGGAAGATTCACTCTCACTTCTTTCTTTGGTGGCAGCTTTAAAGTTTTTGATTTTCCATCACTTTATATTTCAGGGGGTCACTCTAAATAAATAATAGGTAGCATACCAGACAGCTAACGTTTCAAGTTTCATATATTTATTTTATATTTAAACCTCATATAAAGACATAATAGTAAATTGTAGTACATGCACATGATCTCCCCATAGTTCCTCTATCTAGACAAATGCAAACTCTCAGCTACAAGCATCATATACATTTTCATTAGAACAGGGAGCAGATCCAGGCTAAAAGTACAGTAAGTAACAAATATCAATATATATGGAGAGATTCCAGAAAAAACCTTCAGTTGACACACACACACTCAGGATCAAGTGGTGGTGTTTCGGAATAAAAACCCTTTTGCCAAGTGAAATCCACCAGATGGGGTGAATCTTCTCTAACGGGACACAGACAGCAATATACCTTAGCAGATAGCAAGAAAACAAAGTCCATGGTTTCTTTTATAGAAATCTTAACTCACTGTTACTGTCTGGAAGTTTTTAAATCACAAGTGCACTTTTAACTAAAAGTGTTGAATCTAGTAATGCCGAAAATAATATGGAATCAGCATGCCATTGGATTCCACCTTTCTGACTACAACCCATTTAAAAATACAGTGGGTAATTTGTTACCATTGAGAAGAAGAAAATTGAATGCTAACACCCTACAATAGCTTTAAAAAAACAAATGCCTCACATATGTAAGAATTTAACATATGCAATAATTATCAAACAATTGTGGGTAAATAAATGGTAGAACAAATTGAGCCTTTCTCAAAGTCAAAATTTTGGAATATTTTCAGAAGGAAGGTGTGCCAAAAAAGGACTGTTAATTTTCTCGTATTTTTACTGGCCATATGAATTCGTCACTCCAAATGAAACTAATCAATTCCATAGGGGGAATATGAACCAGATCAAAAATCTGTTATATCATTTAGAGTTATTTTCTTAAACTGATTCTTGAAGTTGCACTTTGTTGTAATGTCTTCGCTAATTACAGCAGCAGGAAAAGATAAAAATATATTACAAAAAGCAATTTTAGTAAAAATAATGCCTTAAAATAAATATGAGAAGAACCAATTATCTTAATTATCCTACAGCATAATGACTGTGTCCAAAGAGTAGTCATTCTATACCTAAGCAGGCTTTAAAGTCTCCCTTATTGTTACAGAGCAGACATATTTCCCAGAACAATTTAAAGAAACCCCAACTAAAAAAAAAAAAACATGTTACACATTTTAACCAATATTCACTTGATTCATGCCCTATGGTAAAGTATTTATGCTAATATTAGTAAATAATCCTCTTTTCATGTCGACGTGCACCTTCTACTTCACATCTCTTCCATCTCTTCTTTCTTCCTTTCCTTTATCCCTCAGTCCATGGTGGAAAAGGTATTAGGTTTACTCTTAGTGAAGAGACTTATCCAGAAAAGGGTATGTCATTGGTACAAAGGTTTTGGAAGCATGTCCTATATTGCCAGGCAAATGAACCATTTCCACTTTCAGCTAGAGATAATTTTCTGGCTTATGAGGAGTAGTGGAGGGGTTTGGTTAAGCATGTAGAAACTCCAGTCCCACTTGTCAGCAGTTAACACCATGTCTTCATTTTGCAGTGTTGTTTTGTTACGTAAAAAGAAAAAAAAACAACTTTTCATGTTTTATTTGTTGTGTGTGTCTGAACTGTAGCTGTTCTAAGTAACCTTAAATTATTCACATGCATTCCTGCATTTTATAAAGATACTAAATAACTAACTAATTTTAAGGCAATTACAGACTCTGTGAACTTCTTTTGAGTGACATCCTAGTAATATACTACAACAGTATGCCAAGGAAATATTTATTCTAACCAGATTGATGCCAGATCTACAAAATTGCTGCAATTTGTTTACCTGTATAAGTGGGACTGAAGTATTAACTCCTTTGCTACTGGTGTTTTAATACAGCACGCTATTGGGACCCTTATTTTTGTTGAAACTGAATGTGAAGCTTGTCTTGCAATCCATTGCAAGATGATACTTTGCCTGTAGAAAGCATGCAGTACATCAGTTTGGTTTAGCCCAAATTTACTTTGTAGCAGTAATGTTTCTTAAACTATGCAACGTATAATGAGAGTTTTTAGACCAAGCTGGCAAAACTAAATGTTGATAAGGTAACAGAAAAAGAAGAAATCCATGATGGAACCCTCAAGTGTGTAAGATTAACACATTAATATAGAGGTTGGAGTGGGTGTTCCAACACATGCCTTCAGTTTAAAGCAGAAAGAAAACACTAATTTGCATGTTGCACCAAGCAAGCATGGATAGACTGCAGCGGATCCATAAAATGTCACAAGTATAAACTGGTGGACTTGAGTTATAAGTCAAATTGTAACCCAGCTCCGCAGTAATATAAACCAAAACTGAATTAACTGCTGGCAGGTGTAATTAAACTAAACTAATATAATTTGAATAATCTGAAGAAGGTTGCAGAATGGTCTTAAATGTTTATAAATCTCTTAGACCCTGTCAGCAGTTATACTCAGAAAAGCCTGGTGCCCATAGTTCTGTGATGATGTGCTAAGTATTCGTATGTTTGCATTTGCCAGGATCTGGAGTGGATGATTCAGTTGGAGAGGTTTCCATTCATGTAGAACTCTTCACCCATCCAGGAACAGGGGAGCACAAGATTAGTGTCAAAGGTAAAAAAATAAAATGCCAGTTGTTACTTGTTCAAGAACCTACATGGCACTTAAAGCCAACAGATTTTCTAATGCAGACTAATGAAGTAACTGAACATACTTTATTATGCCAGGCTTATCAACAGTGATGATCAGAATGGTACTGAGCATCTTAGAAAAAAGTTTACATAATGGATTTTGAGGGATCAGTAGTAGTTACAGTATTTCATAACAAGAAATGCAACTTTCTATATATATGTATTCTCCTACTGTTCTCATTGGTGACCCACCCTATAACTGGACATGGAAATAATTGGGCTTTATTAAAGCAGCAAACAGCCCTACGAAAAATAGCGGAAAATAGTTAAGCAAGTTTGAAAGAGATATATATATAGATATATATATAAAGAGTAGTAAGATAATGTAGTAAATAGAGTCGATGTTCATTCTCTTTCTCCCCTGTGAGAAGCTTTGCTTTCAAGCATTTGGTGAGTGGGGAGAGATGCTGCAGGGAATAATAAACGACAGTCAATGCAACAAATGTCCCCAGTACACAGTAAGAGGGATGCAGTTAACTATAGGGGCCTAACTATAATCTATTAGACCCTAACTAACCACTGGCTGGCAAGTAAATGTTCCCTTTTTTAAATCTGATAGCTGTGGGGCCCTTTAAACTCAACAGTGGGCTGCTCAGCTTTTAAATGGAGGTTATTTTAATCCACAAGGGTAATTATTCTTCACAAAGTGTCCCATAATAGCTGACAGTGAAATGGTGGGGTGGAAAAAGCTCTGTCAGTGTAGTAGTTTCCCATATACAGTCAGGTCCATAAATATTGGGACATCGACGCAGTTGTAACATTTTTGGCTCTATACACCACCACATTGGATTTGAAATGAAACAAACAAGATGTGCTTTAACTGCAGACTGTCAGCTTTAATTTGAGGGTATTTACATCCAAATCAGGTGTAGAAATTACAACAGTTTGCATATGTGCCTCCCACTTGTTAAGGGACCAGAAGTAATGGGACAATTGGCTTCTCAGCTGTTCCATGGCCAGGTGTGTGGTATTCCCTCATTATCCCAATTACAATGAGCAGATACAAGGTCCAGAGTTCATTTCAAGTGTGCTATTTGCATTTGGAATCTGTTGCCGTCAACTCTCAAGATAAGATCAAAAGAGCCGTCACTATCAGTGAAGCAACCCATCATTAGGCTGAAAAAACAAAACAAACCCATCAGAGAGATAGCAAAAACATTAGGCGTGGCCAAAACAACTGTTTGGAACATTCTTAAAAAGAAGGTGAGCTCAGCAACACCAAAAGACCCAGAAGACCACGGAAAACAACTGTGGAAGATGACTGAAGAATTCTTTCCCTGGTGAAGAAAACACCCTTCACAACAGTTGGCCAGATCAAGAACACTCTCCAGGAGGTAGGTGTATGTGTGTCAAAGTCAACAATCAAGAGAAGACTTCACCAGAGTGAATACAGAGGGTTCACCACAAGATGTAAACCATTGGTGAGCCTCAAAAACAGGAAGGCCAGATTAGAGTTTGCCAAACGACATCTAAAAAAGCCTTCACAGTTCTGGAACAACATCCTATGGACAGATGAGACCAAGATCAACTTGTACCAGAGTGATGGGAAGAGAAGAGTATGGAGAAGCAAAGGAACTGCTCATGATCCTAAGCATACCACCTCATCAGTGAAGTATGGTGGTGGTAGTGTCATGGCGTGGGCATGTATGGCTGCCAATGGAACTGGTTCTCTTGTATTTATGGATGATGTGACTGCTGACAAAAGCAGGAGGATGAATTAATTCTGAAGTGTTTTGGGCAATATTATCTGCTCATATTCAGCCAAATGCTTCAGAACTCATTGGACGCCGCTTCACAGTGCAGATGGACAATGAACCAAAGCATACTGCAGAAGCAACCAAAGAGTTTTTTTAAGAGAAAGAAGTGGAATGTTATTCAATAGCCAAGTCAATCACCTGACCTGAATCCGATTGAGCATGCATTTCACTTGCTGAAGACAAAACTGAAGGGAAAATGCCCCAAGAATAGCAGGAACTGAAGACAGTTGCAGTAGAGGCCTGGCAGAGCATCACCAGGGATGAAACCCAGCATCTGGTGATGTCTATGCATTCCAGACTTCAGGCTGTAATTGACTGCAAAGGATTTGCTACCAAGTATTAAAAAGTGAAAGTTTGATTTATGATTATTATTCTGTCCCATTACTTTTGGTCCCTTAACAAGTGGGAGGCACATATGCAAACTGTTGTAATTCCTACACCGTTCACCTGATTTGGATATAAATACCCTCAAATTAAAGCTGACAGTCTGCAGTTAAAGCACATCTTGTTCATTTCATTTCAAATCCATTGTGGTGGTATATAGAGCCAAAAATGTTAGAACTGTGTTAATGTCCCAATATTTATGGACCTGACTGTAGGTGTCGGTAGCATTCAACGCACAAGAGGGTGGCCTAAGTCTGCTTACCACTCTGACATCTGAATCAGTTCATCAGTCCTCTGATGGCTGTCCATGCACACAGGACAAAGGTGGATAAGAGGCACTGTCCCCAAAGCACAATAGAGGGGTTAGTGGCCAGTTTTTCACAAGATCAGCTGTCTATTTAGAGCATCAGCTCTCTTGCAAGCCCTCCCCTTGACAAGCAATACACCTCTCTCTCTGGTTTTTCCATGCGGGTCTTTCCCAGCTCAAAGCCACACTCCCATGTCCTTGAGCCCTTTTCCTGCCACCATAATTTGAGAAAAATGTCAATGTAAGATAGTTTAACTGGCAGTTACTTTTAACGATAAATTTAAAGGAAATTCCACGGTTCAGTCACAGACATATCCCAAAAATAAAGGTCACAACTAAACCTGAGCTTTAGTATGTGGAAGAGATTTTGGTTAGATGTACAAAAGTCCTGAGCTCAAAACAAGAGCTTCAAATTAAGACTAATTTGGGGCCCAGCAGGTACACTAGGATTTAATAAAGTAAATTAGGAGCAGACCTGAAGCATTTACAATTATGGTTAGGCATATTCTTTGTATGTTTAAAATCTGGTTTGCTGTTTTAGACAGCTGATTCACTTTTGCTTAAATTGTATTTGACCAAAACATATGGAATTCATTTTGCAAGATTTTACAAATTTTTTTGTTTTGTTTTAAGTCGTTGCTGCAAATGATCTGAAATGGCAAACTTCTGGGATTTTCCGGCCTTTTATTGAGGTGAACATGATTGGTCCAAACCTGAGTGACAAAAAGAGAAAATTCACTACAAAATCTAAGAATAATAGTTGGGCCCCAAAATACAATGAGAGCTTCCAATTGTGAGTATGCCTACAAACTTCAGTATCATACACCAATCACAAATCTGCATAACAATAACAATGGCAATAGTACTTAAACCTGTCAAACCTGGGCCATATCAACTGAGCAATTCAAATAAATGATGAAAACTGGTTCAGTACAAAATACAGAGCAAAATTATTAGTAGGTCCTAGGAATTACAGATACAGTTATATGCAATTCTCAATCTTTTCTTAAAAAGGCAAGCTTGGGTCCACCTACTGTCAAGCCTTTAAGAGACTATGGGCAGGCGAAATTGGGACCAAGCTTGACTTTCATAGGGCAAAAAGTTACACATATCTTGGGAATTACTTATGATTCTGGTAGGTGGTTTCACTGCCTTTGTATTTTTTTCCTCATATGCTTAACTTGGACTGTGATTTTATTTAATAATATTAATATAATATGCACTCAGCGGCCACTTTGTTAGGTACACCTGTTTAATTATTTGGTAACACAAATCGCTAACCAGCCACCCACATGACAGCAACTCAATGCATTTGGGCATCTAGACGTGGTGAAGACGACTTGCTGCAGTTCAAACCAAGCATCAGAATGGGGAAGAAAGTGGATTTAAGTGACTCTGAACATAACATGGTTGTTGGTGCCAGACGGGCTTGAGTATTTAAAAAACTGCTGATCTACTGGGATTTTCATGCACAACCATCTCTACGATTTGCAGAGAATGGTCCGAAAAAGAGAAAATATCCAGTTAGAAGCAGTTGTGAGGACGAAAATGCCTTGCTGATGTCAGAGGCCAGAGGAAAATGGGCAGACTGGTTCGAGATGATAGAAAGGCAACAATAACTTAAACTAGAAAAGCTACAATTTCTGGGAAAATTGTGTGAAGTGTTCTTGCCTCCACCAGTAGTCTAGGGCTTGAAAATGAGGGAGTGATGGCAGTTTAGAAATCATGTCCTGATTTTTTCAGCTCACACTCTAGCTTTTGTCACTCTGCTGCCTGCTCACACACCTGGGTTCCTATGGCAACTCACTCTACAGCAAGGGCAGAGAAGAGCGGTTAAAAACAAACTGCTCCAACTAGCTCACTTCACTGGCAGTTGCCATCTTCAAATGGTTGTAGTTTAAAAATTATAAATCCTACACTGAAGAGCTTTATATTGTGAGAATCACAAGACCCAGACCTACATTTTGATGTATAGTATTGTCTCTGAAATATTAAAAATGAAGGCACAGTCGCAGTTTAGGGATTGCCCTTCAAATTTGAGGTGGCTAGAGTGGAGTTTCAATTAATGTCAATGGGCGGTGTGAGTTGCAAACAAATGGTCATATTGTGAAAACTGTCAGGACTATGGCTTAGCCATGGACATTTTTAGTGGCAGCAGGGATAGCTGAACGTTTTGATGTAAGATTTGTGTAGGTGGGCTTGAAAATGAGGGAGTGATGGCAGTTTAGAAATCATGTCCTGATTTTTCAGCTCACACTCTAGCTTTTGTCAGCTCACACTCTAGTTTTGAACATTCCGCCATTCATTCCTATGGGACCAACTTCACCACCATAACACCGATATTTCGTGAACCATTCGGCGAAACGTTCCACAAAGTAATAGCACACCAATCGGGAACAATCCGCACGTTTCGGTATATTACTGTCTATGTAGTGTAAAAACTGTGGGAGGAGTTAGGGTGGTAAATTTGGCTATAATAATAAGAATATATATGTGAGATAACAGTAAGTGGTCTTGCCATGCAAGAACACTTAATAACCACTCGTTACAACCAATGTATACCATCACTGAATGCACAACACATGGAACTTTGAAGAAGATGGGCAACAGCAGCAGAAGACCACACCGGGTGCCACTCCTGTCAGATAAGAAAAGGAAACAGAGGCTAAAATTTGCACAGGCTCAACAAAATTGAACAATAGAAGATTTGAAGAACGTTGCCTGGTCCAATGAGTCTCGATTTCCCTAGAGATGGTTGTGCGTGTAAATCTCAGTCAGTAGATCAACAGTTTCTGAAATACTTAGACAGCCTGTCTGTCACCAACAGCCATGCTATGTTCAAAGTCACTTAAATCCCCTTTGTTCCTCATTCTGATACTCGGTTTGAATTTCATCAAGTCGTCTTCACCATGTGTAGATACCTAAATGCACTGAGTTGTTCCATGTGATTTGTGTTACCAAGCAATTGAAAAGGTGTACCTAATAAAGTGGCCGGTGAGTGTATGTAATACTGGGTGATGTTAATCTATAGTGACCAGAGTCAGGATATAGGTCAGAACATGTACTCAGTGGTGTAGCATGGGTTGTTAGCTCCTGGGGCAAGGCAAGTAATTTGTGCCCCCTAACACTCGGACTTTTAGCATTCCCTGAGTCCTTTCCATTAGTACAGTATTAAATCCCTTACCTTAATCACATACCAAGATGGCGCATATTTGTGTACCAGAATGTAAACACAGCTGTGATGAGAGCGCGCACCTGCAGGCTCCCGACAGAGTGACCGGTGGCTGACGAAAAGCTCCCTAGTACTACTTGCGAAAGGGACCTTTCCAATCATGTGACTGCTGTGACAGCCAATCATGGTGGTCACATTATCATAAAGCCCACCCCGTCTTCCGGCATCTGAACCCCTTAAAGGGCTGAGAGGCGCCAGCGGCAAAGGGGTTAACATTCCTGCCTGATTTAAAGTGATAAGCACAGATGTTTCAAATTATTATATTTTTTTGAGAAACCAAGTTATTAAATAATGCCAAGGTGGCAAAGGTTCCGTGACCAGTTGATATGTAAATTCCATCTTGTTATACCCCTGCCCATCACTCTACTGGTCTATGCCTTCAGCCTGTGTCAAGCACCTCATCATTAACACTGACACTGACTGAGCTACCCTACTCTTATTTCAGTGAATGGTTGCTGATTATACTCCTATTCCTCTTCTTCTAAGGGGAAACTAAGTAAGGGTTGGGCATGAGTTTATTTTCTTTGCCCTTTTCTCTGGTTGCCCTTTGTCAACAGCCCTGACTTCATGACATGGAAAGCTCCAATGGGCCACAAGGACTCAGGAATATAGTAAACAAGAAACAGTCTGCAGAACTGTATTAGCAGCTTTCCATGTCATGATGTCAGGGCTGTTGACAAAGGACAACCAGAAAAAGAGGACAAAGACAATGCACTCGTGCCCAACCCTTACTTAGTTTCCCCTTACATAGTTACATAGTTACAAAGTAACATAGTCTGGCTGAAAAAAGACAAAAGTCCATCCAGTTTAGCCATAAAAAAAAAAAAAAGAAAGTTATAATCCTCTACCCACAGTTGATTCAGAGGAAGGCAAAAACCCAGCAAAGCATGATACAATTTGCTCCTGCAGGGAAAAACAATTCCTTCCTGATCCCCCGAGAGGCAATCGGATATTCCCTGGCTCAACTTTACCTATAAATGTTAGTATCCAGTTATATTCTGTGTATCTAAGAAATATTCCAGGCCTTTTTTTGAAGCAATCCACTGAGCTGGCCAGAACCAACTCTTGAGGGAGTCTATTCCACATTTTCACAGCTCTCAATGTGAAGAAACCTTTCCATGTTTGGAGATTAAATTTCTTTTCCTCCAGACATAAAGAGTGCCCCCTTGTCCTCTGTGATGACCTCAGGGTGAATAGCTCTACACCGAGTTCACTATATGAACCATTGATGTATTTATACATGTTGACCATATCCCCCCTTAATCTCCTCTTCTCAAGAGAGAATAAATTCAGTTCCTCTAATCTTTCCTCATAGCTGATCTCCTCTATGCCTCGTATCAGTTTGGTTGCCCTTCTTTGTACTTTCTTCAGTTCCCCAATGTTCTTTTTGTGAATTGGTGCCCAAAACTGAACTGTATATTCCAGATGAGGTTTTACTAATGATTTGTACAGGGGTACAGAAAAAGAAGGAGGAGGAGAACCAATGACCGGCCACTGAACTAAGAGTGTGGCCTTCATGTTTCTCCCACCCTAGGATTCTATGTCCCAGACAGTCCCTGTTGAGCCTGCTTATCTTCAGCCAGCCTGGTCCCAGGATAGCAGTGCACTGCCACCACTCACCTGGTAGTGCTCTTCTTGTCTCCCATACTGAGTGTGGCTGATGAGAAGAGGAGATCCGGAGCCTGAGGCCCAGCCAGAGGTGAGACCTAGACAGCAAGTCGGGAGCAAACAACTGCACCAACCGCGATCACCTGCCAAAGCCAGCTGTGTCTGCTGTGCCCACACATGACCCAGTTTGGCCATTCACAGGGTGGTGGGCACCCATGTCTGCCTTCCCAGAAGAGTTGAAGCTGTTATAGCTGCAAGGGGTGGGCCAGCCTAATGTTGAACCCTACGGACTAAGACTGGGATGCCATTAAAGTTCATGTGCTGGTAAAGGCAAAGGCAGGTAAAGGTAAAGGCAGTACATCCCAATACGTTTGGCAATATAATGTATATTTTCCCTTAGGGTTTGAATGCAATGCCTACAAGAACGTATACATACTGTATGCCACATTTCCAAGTACTATCACCCTGCTGTGTTTGTGAAGATTTTTATTCATCCAGGTCATTATAGCTAGTAGGAGTTAACCACATATAACTGGACTTGTTTTGTAATGCTGAAGACCTTTTGCCACTCATCCAAGTGGTTTCCTCAGTTTTAATGAGTGTGAAGAACATACCGGAGCTTTTATAGCCTCACAGGTAACTCAGTCACCCTAATTCAAATACTATGAGTTCAAAAATGTTTAAAGGAAGATCCTGAGTATCCAAGAAGACAGAGGTATGTATTTTTTGCATAAATAAATCAATATGCTGGAAGGAAATCTGGGGCAGGTGTTAAGTTTTCAGATTACATTACTGAAGGTGTGATTTGTTGTCTAATTACACTGTTCAACAAATTTTTATTTTTTGCCAGTTTTGGAAACAAGGATCCATTTCTTAATGAATTTCACATTCTGAGTTCAAATATAACAATGCAATTTGTCAATTGGCTCTAGTTTTTCTGTAAACGGAAAGTTTTCTACTATAGGCGTAATGACTACATAATGCACAATAATTATATAGATAGATGTCTTTCCAGAAATATAAAGTGATATTGACTACATAACAAAGCCTAAATGGCATAATATATTGCATAGGATTACCAAGAAAAATTATAGCCATAAGCTAAGTTGAATCATTTTAATACTTAGGATTCTCACTAGTTTTGTCTTCAGTTTGTGTCGGTTTTGCTTCTCTTGGCTTTTCTCTTGTATTCGAGGAAAGGGCTATCTCTTACAACTGCACGTGACTACACGCTTCAGGTTCTTCCTCACTTGACTCAACCACGAAGGATTCTGGTGCTTTAGGAATTGGTAGCCCCTCTCCATGAGGAACTGGACGTATTGCCGATGGAATATTTGGATAGTGCACAGATAACTTTTTCTTCTTATTTAGCCCTTTTACAATTGGAGGCACCATACAAAAGTAACAATTACTAACATGATCTGTTGGCTCTCTCCAAATCATTGGCACAGCGAAAGGCATAGATGCCTTTTTTCCATTCAACCATTGCTCCAGTGCCGCCCCACAAGAATTGCAGCATATATGTGGTGCCCAGGTCTTGTCCTGGTCTCCTATCTTGCAGCCAAAATACAAGTTGTAAGCTTTCTTAATCATTCCTGTTATCCTCCTTTTTTGTGAGATAAAAGTTATTTCACCGCAGATATAGCAGAAATTATCTGCTTTATTCACACAAGTTCGAGGCATTACTGATAGCCTATATAAGCATAAAACGAAATGTAAAGACGCTGTCAAACTACAATCAGCTACAGATACTGCAGCTTTTATGCAATGAAGTAATGCAATTAAAGGCTAATATTGCATCATCTCAGTATACATGCAATTTTCTATTGGTCACCAGTATCAATTGCGCAATATGCAGCTGAAGTTGCATCATAATTTTGAATGGCTTATGTCATTAGATGGGTGAATATATCATGGAAACTAGAGCCAATCAACATTTTTTAGGGTCATTTTCGTTTTCAGCACCCCAAAATTATGTAAGATTAGCTAATTTTATGCCCAAAACTTTTTACCTGTTGAACAGTGTTACCTGGGTAAAGATGGCAAGACTGCATTATATGAGGGTGAGGTGAGGTGATGGATGCTCCTACCCCACAATACAGTTTGCTGTTTGTTGCTGTGTTGCTCTATGTGAACGCAGTGTTGTTTTTTAGTGACTAGAACTGACTTGCTCTGCTCCTTATTGTATTTGGTGATAATGTGCACTGTTCCATTCTGTACATATGCAAGAGCAAAAAGTAGTATGGAAGGGGATCTCAGATTACTGTCTTATTTTGAAGTAGTGTGACTTGTACTGCAAATTTATGTAACATACAGTATCTTGTTTACTGTCTTCTGCTATCCATATTTTGGTAAATCTGTGTGGAATAGGTTAGATTGGCATTGTGTCTGCTAAATGTCAATTGCTATTGAGTGGGCATTGCTACCGTGATATCCTGGCTCCATACTACTTCACCCACAGGCCAGCACAGAGCAAGATGTAAAGACCAAAGAGGTCATGTCTCCTCCATTTTTCATTCTATTTTTAAGGCAGAAATCCTCGAGTAAATGTTAAAACAGGGGAAGAAACAGTGAAGTTTCTGAGATGCCTGTGTTCTTTGTCTTTGAACTCATTGTTTGATGTTACTATCAGTTTGTGCTCGAGTGAATAGAGGGAATCAAAAAAAACAAATATGGTCTGTGTTGGTAGGTTTCCTGTGGATGTCAAAGTCCCCCAAAGTCTATTTAACGCAAAACAGAGCCCTAAGTAGACTATTAGCCTTGGGCCCTCTCCCAAGTCATATTCATGTAACCTGTAATATATGTACATATAATCCTATACGCAGTGCCCTATTAGTTTGGAGCAAGTTACATCTTTTGTGCCCCTCTCTTATACCCTAATAGATTGTACGTTTTTCCACCACTTATAAATTCCAGTTATAAATTGTAAGCTCTTTCTCCTTCTGTAGCTTATCTTATATCCTAATAGATTACTTTTTATTTTGTCTTTTCTATCCTCCTGTATATCCAAAATGATTGCAAGCTCCCCCTCCTTCTTTGATACTCATATACCCTAATAAATTGTATAGTTTATTTTCCTAGCACATGATTAGGTATTCTAGACAAAGTGAATTTTTACTTTGTTTTACCTTATTAACTTTGCAAAGTGAACCTTTATTTTGCAAGTGAACTTTCTCTGGTCAGACTATTGCTTTGGTCAGACTATTACCTTTTTCTTGTGACAGCTGGTGGGGTGACTTGGTAATTAAATTCGTTAATTACAACAGTGCATCTTCCCTGCTTTTTTTTAGGATGGCTATACTAAGATCTCCATTAAGCAGTGTAAGAACCATTCTTTCTTGCAGGGTCAAATTAGACAGTGGTACTTTGGTGCTGGACGGACAGTACAGACTCTGGTAGTTTTTATCTTCTGATAAGTGGGTATATAGTAGTTTTATCTTCAGCTGAACTTCTGCCATTTTATTATTGTTGCCCCATAGGAGCACTGCAGTAAATTTGTTGATCTGTTTTTCCTTATTGTTCATGTATTGAGTTAGTCAAACTTGTTTTGGAAATTCAACCATTCTAATATTACAGTAGGTAGTCTTGGTGGCAAGCTCTGTTAGGTACTGTTAGCTTTTTGTCTTAGGGTGTCAGTGGTGGAGTGGGTCTGATTCAGACAGTCATTTAGTTGTATAGTTTTGTATAGTTTATACAGTTTTCAAGCCCCCTGCAAAATTTTATTAGCCCTTTGACTTTTTCCTGTTAAACCCAAATGCAGTCTGCGGTGGGTGAGTCCATGATGTCTGCAACTGAGAATAAAGCTTAGGTATTTACTGTAAATTCAACTGTCCACAGTAAAGCGTCATCGGGGAGTGAAACATTATGAAGCCTTGTTTCAATTCACATAGTTGCAACAGTGTCACTATGTATGGAACAGATAGCAACTGTATGAGTTACATGTCTGAGCTACTATATATTTATGTAATCCAAACATTATCTTGCTGTTTTTCTCATATTTCCAAACCAGTTTCAGGCTTTACCACCGAAATATTTGCCAAACACAATCAAAGTAACCTGCAATACACAGTCCAGTTTAGTGAGAAATGCAAAGACCTGTACAATGGGAACAAAAAAAAAAAAACTTCTGAACAAACACATGGCCCAGCATATGAAGCTGAACTCTACATAATGCCATTTTAACATCTTTGCCTCTGAGAATAGACATCAGTTCACACCATCAGTTGTGTAGCTTGTACAATTAACACCTTTGCCAGTCATAGTGACACCATTGCAACTATGTGAATTAGAACAGGGTTTCATAATTTTCCACACCCCTGCGACATTTTATTGTGGACATTTATTTATTTCAGGTACTTATATAGCACAGCCAAGTTACGCAGCACTTTACACATATATATTGTACATTCACATCAGTCCCTAACCCTTAAGGGGCGTACAATCTAAGGTCCCTAACTTACATTCATACATACACATACTAGGGCCAATTTAGACAGGATCCAATTAACCTACCAGCATGTCTTTGGAGTGTGGAAGGAAACCGGAGTGCACTGAGGAAACCCACACAGGCACAGGGAGAACATGCAAACTCCAGGCAGGTGGTGCCGTGGCTGGGATTCGAACCAACGACCCTAGTACTGCCAGGCGGAAGTGCTAACCATTTAGCCACTGTGCTGCCCATGTGTCTTGATACATTTCACAAGACCATGGTGATTTAATTAAGGTACAGTTACATGTGATTGTAAGTGCTGGGGGGTATGTTACTTATTAGAACCGAGGAAGCCACTTGGATTATTTAAATGTGACTACTACTAGCTGTCCCCATGTCACCTCTGCAACACCTGTACTTAAAATAAATGTGACCATCATCTATCACATCATCTGTGACATGACATCATCATGTGAGATATGTAATTAAAGTAATTGTAAACGCTCACCTTGTAAATCAATCCATTCAGTTTTAAATAGAGAGGAAACACAAAACATTTGCGTATGCATATAAAAATGTTATCAATACCCTTTTTCCCGCTTTTTATAAGTGACCGCATAACCTCTGCATAAGATTGAGAGGAGGAGAAACAGCAGGACACTGATCTTCCGGGTGAAAGGCTGTACAGGGGAGTGGGCTGTCAGGAAAAGTCTGATCATTGGAGGAATGCAGGCACAGCAGAAAACTGACCACATTGTGCTTTCCTACCTAGTGTGGTTAGTTTTTAATAGGAAAGCAGAGGGACTGGCAGGAACACCAGGGATTTCACAAAAAGGAAGCAATACATGGTACAGCAGGCACATATCAGGAATATGAAATGTTGGGTTTACTTATTCTTTAAGTGCTTAGAGATTTGTAGGATTTTGTTTTATAGTTTTGCCTAACCCTTTATTTTACTTCTTGTAGTACACTGGGGAGTGAAAATGGACCCGAATGCTATGAACTTCAGGTGTGTGTGTGTGAAAGATTACTGCTTTGCACGTGAAGACCGAACAGTGGGCACAGCTGTCATGCAGCTGAGAGATCTAGCACAAAGAGGTAGCTGTGCCTGCTGGCTGCCACTTGGACGACGTATTCATATGGATGAGACAGGACTGACTATTTTAAGAATTTTGTCACAGCGCAACAATGATGAGGTGGCCAAAGAATTTGTCAAACTCAAAAATCTGACACTCGCTCTCCTGAAGAGGGCAGCTAGGGAGGTAGGGTCCTTCTTCCATACCTTCAATAACAAGATTACCCTTTCTACTGCCTTGCACCCCAGGCCCAGATTGTAGATAGTTTAAATATTTTAAAAAATACATTTTGAAACACATTTAACCAAGTCACTGCCAGCAGTGCTTGCCAAGCTCTGCATAATGCTCATCTGCCTTTCTGGCAGTGACATGGATAAGGTGTACACAAATACACACCACCAAGGGCTGCGTTTATATGTGCCATTGTGTTAATGTTCGCCCTGCTGGACTACATAAGCACAGTGGTTAGGGGGCCTTAACCCATGTCCTGCATCAAACTGCTGGGCAGTTAACTGCACCCTGGCAGTGGGAGGATTTGCAGTTTGAGAAACCATGTGTCCCTAATAAAGGGGGTACAGTAGTCACTATCCCTTCCTTGACTTGTCCATTTAAGTTGCCTGCACCTCACCTGCTGTGTATATAGGATCTTCCTGTACCAGTGTCTTATTCTGTGCATTGGTGCTGCATGGGTATTAGTTTTCTATGAAACAACCACCCTAAACCTTTATCCCAAAGCTCTTGGTAAACCCTTTCCACCTCATGCCTGTTTTAAAGCCTTGGACTGCAAAAAGGACACTGCCAACTGCTCAGCACCTCTATCCTATCCTTAAAATGCCCTAATAATCCAGCACTGAACAGGCTTACAAGTCCCAGATTCTGATCAGGACAAGAAGGGCAAAACATCCTAAGCTCCCACCACATACTGCACAAGGGGTTGACACTCCCATATGATTAGAGAAATGTGGCATGCTGTTTGGAAGGAAAATGCTGATGATATCCCTTTGCCTCTGACCATTGTGTACAGAATATTCCTCCTCCTTTTCCTTCCTCCTGGGTGCATGTGAAAATGTTTTGCACTAACTTGGACATTTTTGGTCTCTGTAAAAATATTTTATTATAACAGCCATTAAATAGAAATAAAGAAAGGAATGTGCATTTGATGTTTTAAGTTTTCATCCAAAGTGTACATCAGCAGCAAAGAAGAGTGGAACGGTTGCCCATAACAACCAGTCTGATTTCTAGTTTTATTTTCCAGTAACATTTATTTTTTTCATATAATAATAAAATTAATAATAACTAGAAGTGTGCCAATTCCTTTAAGCTAATTTGGAAAGGTGTGGTTGACTTAAGTGTAAGGACCCATTTGCACAATTGTGTTAAGTGCTTACATGCAATGCGTGGTATGCCGTGCATTGATGTTCATTGCGTTAAGGCAGCTGATTCATTTCAATAAGCTGCCTAACACACCAAAAAAGGAGCATGTAACATTACATGTGTTGGTTTGATGTGGTGCCATTCATTTTTTATTGCACGCCTACGCATTTTGCCAACTTGTGTTGCTACAACGTACAATAACACCCTATTGTGTTTTGCAGTCTGCTGCCAAAATTGCTATATGCACCTTTTTTGGTGCATTATGGTGTGTAGGGCAGCTGATTTAAATGTTAACCACAGTGCAATTGTGAATTGGCCCTTAGGTGTAAACAATGTTTTGAGCAGGGCTTCAGAAACAAAGGGAATTACAATGTAACACTCTTTCTGTGTAAGTCACACATCCATCTTTGATGAGCCTTGTGCTATGGTCCTCAATGGCCTTTGCAAACATAAAGGATGTGTAAAAATGCTCAGCATATAGGTTCTGGTAATATGGCACTCAACGCTGGCTTCATGGGGCAGGTATAATGCCATTTGCAACATGGCACCATCTTCCTGTAGTGCTCTAGTCCTCTGCGTTATCATTAAACTGTGTAACCTGCACTGAATGTCACCATACTTACAATGACTAAATGCTGCCCTGTTAAAGAACTTTATTATGCCCAGTGTATGGAAGGCAAATGACTATTTCAGTGTTCTCATTCTAAGTTAGCAAACATCTCATAGTAGCATGCACCCTTATTTGCATACATTAATAGGTTCCTATAGTTTGCCTGTCAGACTAGCATTTTCTACAGTCTATATGCTGTGTACACTTTATATTGTGTATGCTGGTCCTTCAAACACTCTGTTTGATGCATGAGTTTCATATGCTCTGTACTGTGTACATGAGTTGTGTGCTATATATTCTGTTTGGAAATTCTGATGTGTATGTGTGCTTAGGTACATTCTGTGCAGTGTATTGTTTATGCACTCCATGCTGTGTACATTGTATCTGCTGTGTGCAGGGTATGCTGTGTGGACCATGACTGCTTTGTGCATGTTATATGTGCCATTTGTGTTCTGTGCTGGGTATCCTGTGTGCTTTCTGAAAATATTTACTGAAAATCTGCTTATTCACATCCCTTTCACATTCTGGGAGTGGACTCTTGTAGGAGACAGGAAATGACTTCATGTATTTAAATATTAAAATGGGAGAACAGTAGTAATCACAATAATAACTGTTCTGCATGCTTAACTTTAAATGCAGCCATACCATATATTGTTGGCTAAACTCATTTAATGGCAGGGTGCAGTTAGAACGGATAATTCATTAGCAGCCCATATAGAGTATGGCTAGAGACTCATTGGCAACAGACTGGAGACCCATCAGAGTCAGCTCAGGTAACGGACAGAGACTCATTGGGACCAGGTAGGGCAGCAGACTGAGATTTATCATATGCAGGATGGGCATTAGTTGAGACTCATTACATGCAGGCAGGCCAGCAGACAGAGAATCATTGTAGATAAATAAGTTATTAGGGGTTCTCTGTAGTCTGGCATGATATGACCAGAATAGGATTGGAGTACCTGGGGATAATCACAGGAAGCCAGAGTGGAGGTCCACCTTCAAGTGACTGTAACCATCTAATCCACACCCAACTATTGTTAAATAGGCATGGTTTAAAAGACGTGGCCTATTCTAAGGCTGGCTATACATTAAACAATTTTCTTTCCTTCAACCATGGGTTGAAGGAAAGAAAATTGCTTGATTTCCCCATCAACACTTTCAGTGTTGATGGGAGAATACCTCCCACTGCACTATTGTATTCTGACAGTGGGGGTTTCCCAGCCATCAGAATAAAATAATTACTGCTGCCAATTATAGCAGGCAGCAGTAATTGCACAAAAAAAACCCCAATAGATCAACTTCAGTACAGGCAGCCTCCCCCAGAGATGGATCAAAATTCATCAGCTTCCTGCTGAACCAGCTGAATTGCAATCTTTCTATGGACGGCTTTAGTTCATAGTCAGAAGCAGTGAGAGTTTGAAGAAATTTGTTTTAGTTTGAAAAGTTTTCATTAGGTTTTTAAGCACCAAAATAGCTGACTATATCTGTGTGCAGTATCTGTTGATTTCTGTCAAAGGACTGTTATGGACTGCTCACATGTAACAAGATGGTCAGAGACTGTTCGCATGCACACCATTTATTCTCTCACTGACACAGAAGTTGTTCTATAGACACAAATTTTTCTGAGTCAATACAATAAATGAATTGCACTATTACCTGGTACCTTGAGAAAGTGCGAGAAACAATCACTGGTATCTGGAATCTTTTTTCTGTGCCTTTTTTTATGTAAAGTCCATTAAATAAATGTTCAGTGGACCAGGTCAGAGAGTGTGTTATCCTCCTTTTTTGTCATATTGATTATGTATTGCCTTTAGCATTGGTGGTCACTAGGAGGAAAATATAAACCCTTACTTTGGTAATAAGTTCAGAACTGCACCCTTACAGTAGTGATTAATGACTGCTGACCACCAGTGTAAAGGGATATTTTTCCTGCCATTACCATATAATATAACAAGGTATTTCTGGGCAACATCCTTGAGTTTAAAATGTAGATTACACAGGATCCTCTGGATTTCCAGTCCGGTGGGCCAGTTCAACCCTGGATCAGGCTAAGTAGAGGATAAGATCTTAACAAAGGCTTGCTGGGCAGTAGATGAAGACACATCAGAATGAGGCAGGGCACAGGACACAAGGTTGGCAGATTCAGGCAGGGCAGTGAACAGAAGGTCTAAAGAGTCAAACAGGGCTGCGGACAGGTGGTCAGCAGGGGCTGGCCGAGCAGGACACAGGATGTCCTCAAAGACAGTCTGAACTTCTGCTTGGGATTGAGCAATTAGCAGAGTTTTTGTTGAGGCAGAGTGGACAGCTAGCAAGGTGGCTGAATAGCGGTCAGTGGAGTTCCCTCTGGCCAGAGCAGAACAGCTTAGCATATTCCCTGACAAGGTCAAACAAAACCTTTAAAACCACCAAGATCTGTTTTATGAAGATGGATTGTGTATGAAAAAAAATGTATTTCTATCTAGGCTAGCAGGCCAAAGTCATTCTGGGTATAGCTGAAGACACTGAGAGAGATGCCAAGACAACAGTTGGAGGAACCATGACTGAAGGAAATTACTTTACTGCCTCAGCATAGGAAAATGATCCACATTTTCTTGTTTTTTGTTTGGAGAAATTAGTCCAATCATTCAGATGAATTCCAAGGACATTCCAAGAAATGTTGTTCCTCATCAATGATATCATCAGCTCAGAAGGACCTGATTTTATTATTCATTAGGAGCAAATCTATTTATCTGGACTGTTCAAAAACATACATAAAAACTACAAAGAAAAGGCCCTTAGCCAAAGTTTCTGATAGGTTGTAGAAATAAGGGGAAAGAGCTACAGTTCCCATAATAGCAGGACAGATTAAATAGAGTATCCTTGGTTTGTTCTAATATTCTAATGTTCTATTATCAGGGAGAAAATCAGTTGGCTTAGTATTTGGCCAGATCAATCAATGTTGGTGAACCCTTGTGGGTTGTAGGAGGTAAGCCCAGATGTAGGGTTTCTCTCAATAATAGGATAGTTGTAGCAATGACTTAGATGTCATATGGGAGCAGTTCAGTACTTGTGGAAGTTAACATAGTACCGAATGGGCATCAGGATGTAATCAGTAGGAATGTGGGCATCAACAGGAACACTGGATCAGGGCATTAAAAAACATGGAGTCAGGACTTAAACAAAAAACTGTAGCTTTTGGTCAGGTATCTGGAAAATGGT